ACTCTAGATCTAGTTGAAGCATATGATGAGCCTATCTATCGAATTAACGCACTGTTTTTAGGTGTGTTGATGACAGAAAAATAGGATTTACTTGTCCTCTCTTCTGCAAAGAGCTCACTATCCTATAGCCTCTCAAGCGAACAGACAGCTTCCAGGGATCCAAGTCAGTCAGGCTAAAAGCATGCTGTAAGGTGCGAGGCTTAAAAGTTCTGCGTCATATCTCAAAGAGGGCAGACAGGAATTCCACCTTAGTAAACTTCCCACGTCCTGTTTGCATAGCATCCTGAGTAGCTTCGCTGTGCTAGTGCTTATACACATAGAATACACCAACATCAAGTAGTTAAAGGAGATGGCTTGTATGAAGGAAGTATAAGATAATATCATGCTTCTCACTGAATTAATGACCTTATATATCACATAGAAATCATATCCATCATAGAGAGTAGGCATTTTGCACATCCCTGACTGAAAGGAAAGACATACCATAATAAAAAGTCATAGTCACCAAATGTGCATCGACGGCGATCTTGTCATCAACCCCATGTATATTCAGTGCCCTGCCTCTCCTGACTGATTCCAAGCAATAGATATTCTTTGATAGATTCCAATAAAATATTGCATCAGTATTACCTGGCTTAAGATCCCAGCTGACCATAACGGTTTTTCCTTTTAAACTGGGTACAGAGTCAAAGACTGAGCATATGAGCTCTGCAAACCCGGTTCCAATCACATCATCCATGGGGCTAATGGGTGCCAGGGGTAGTTCAACTTTATACATCAACATTTATAAAAAGTTATTCCCTTTATGGGGGCAGTTTTCCCAGAAGTTAATTAAGGTTAGATTATATTTCTGAGCAATAGGAGCAGTGATCTGAATAGCAGGAGACTTAACCATGTCCAGTGTCTGATATATCGCAATCTAATAATTAACCTAGTAGTATTCTCTAGCAGATTATTTTCTTTGCTACCACCATCAAAAATAACAACAGCTTGCGATGTTTACTGCATAGAACAAAATTCAGGATCTCTTAACAAGGCTAATTTTTCTGCGGTAAACGCGTAGTCAGTGGATTGTAGTATATGTACCAGCCATGGTTTAACATAGTTTAGTAAGTGCCTCGCCTGGCATTGTAGTCTTCAGCGAGATGGATGTATCTCACAGTCTCACCTAGCATGGGCGGAAAAGGATCTTTTCATTCCAGAAAGTAAATGGTCTCTGACATTATTCTAATGCCAGTATGAGACAGGGGGACAGAGCTGTGACCACTGAATACTAAGAGATTAAAAATAATAGATATACTACCCTTTTTACTTACACTAGGAAGAGTATAAACTATATTATCATTAGAGTCGCATTTGGTGCGGGTTCGGGCAGGTTCAAGCCTAGTTGGCCCCAAACCGGTGCGATTTCAGGTTCAAATTTTAGAACCCGCAACCAAACTGGATTGGGTTGCTGTTTTCACCGCAAAACCCGCCACTAGGCCTAGATAGGCAGTCACTAACCTTTCTAGGTGGGTGGTATGCCTAGGCAATACTAAAAATTTCAATGGTTTTTAGAATTTAATTTCTCCTACCTTAGGCACCTTAGCTGCACCTATTAAATATGCTTATATAAAATTAATATTTTTATATGAAATATATGGTAATTATAGTCAATTTAATCTATATTAGAAATATCAATTCAATATCTATAGGGTTGAATGGGTAGTGATCAAAAATCATTCTTTAACTATAGTAATTGTCAGAGGTTGATGCGTATATATATATATAAACCACCACCACTTTCATACCAGCCCATGACAGAAATCATTATTTGCTTATATCTCACCAACCACTAGATATTTTGAATTGATATTTTATGTTTAGATTAACTAAATACCAGGCTATCTAGTGATATTAATATTTCTAGCAAATTCCTAGAAATTAGTGATTACTAAGCAAAACAGTTTCTTGCGGTTTAACTGCTGACCCCCTGGATCTGACCCTGACCTGCACTGAACCCGGTGCGATTTCGCAATCTAGGAACCAAACCCTCACCGCTGCGAGTTCGGTGAGGGTTGGTTGCGCTTTTTGCGGGCCGGTTATGCAACTCTAATTATCATCCCCTTCGTCATTAGAAAGGTTTTCAATACCCGTACCGCCTTCCTTAGAAATAAATTCAAAGCTATATCATCCATAGTTTTGCTCAAGGAAGAGGAGATTAACCCTACAAGTCAGCCCTGAATTTCTTCAAGGCCAAGTGCAAGTATAATGGTACGGATTGGGTGCCATTCTTAGGCCAATAAATCCTCAATCACGGAAGATAGCGCTATTACCAGATTTTTACAGTCGCTTGCTCCGCAGCCCAGAGCCATTCACCTCAAAATGCCCCAAGGATGGTGAGTAGGTCCACTCAGAGGGGTCCTCAGCAGGGACAATGTCTTGGTGGGCTGCAAAAAGAATGGGCTTGAGGCCGTGATCCGTACCGTTTATGATGAAAACTAGACCTAGTCGGTTGATATAGTCTATTCTAGCCTTCGAGAACCTTGAGGCAACTACTGTTAGTTGCTGGCGTATGCGACAATTGCCGTTGGGGGTATGTGCTTCGGGTGTTGGGATCGACAGGAGGGGAGAGAGGAGAGAAACGTACATAAGGGGAAAAAGGTATAGTAGAAGCTCATGGAAGTCGAGGAATGGACCGAATTTGTCACTGTATGGATCTTGCATGTGCTCTTCCATTATAGTCGGGATTTGGACAGCTCTGGAAAGGCGATCCGGAGCTCATACTGTCTAATCCCGAATGAACCTTTTGAGGTGGGGACCCTCCGGAGGGCTTGGCACGCTAGGAGCGGACAGACGTGGTTTGCGTTCCAGGAACTGAGAATCTGCTGTAGGAGCGGAAAGCTAGGAAATTTAACAACCGAGACTAGTGCTATTATTAATACCCCAGCAGTAGTAAGTAGACTCATTGAACGTATCATCGGAATAGATAACGAAGCGTGCAGATAAAGTGTGTATCCCGGCCGGCTGTTGCTTTGGGATCTCGGACAAGGAGAAATTACCTATGAGACAGAATTATATGGAATAACTTGACTCGAATTTGGTTTTGTCCGGGCGAGTATGTCGCAGCACAACCTAGCGACATCGAGCACAGCAGCTGTTCAACGCAATAAATCCAAGTGGAATCCCAATTATGGTAGGATACATGAAACACTGTCCACAATCCTGATTCCTTAGTACTTCACCACCTACTCGGGCAACCTAATTGTTCCAGTATCGATCGAAAAGTCAGTCCGTCTCCGGCGATGTACAGGAGCAATGGAACAAATACTAAACCCCTAACTATTTTATCGACTGGGTTACAGAGCCAAACCTACCATTGTGGAAAAAGGCAGTGGTTGGTTGGTTATAAATTCTTGGAAGTGACTGGACCACTTCAAAGCTGGCTATGTTATTTCCACGCTTGATGTTTCAACCTAATTTGAGGCATGGTTCCTTGGTACGCAAGAGACGTCGCTATGATTTTACAACTTCACAGAAACAGAGTGTGTTGCAGACCGGCGCGGGGCTCAGACAATGGTGTTCCTCTGGAGTAATGAGGAATTAGATCTCCATAGCTGCCGTAAGAGGCTAGTTAGCTCTTTATATTCCTGTTGCACTCACTTTTAATCCAAGGCAGCTACAGTTGTTGGATTAGAGTTTTAAAGATCGACGGAAGTTCGGGGAACAATACCCGTAATCTAAATCCCACTTTATTGATGACCTCATGCTATCAAGACGGACAAGCAGAGCATAGTTTGGCCGTAACAGGTCACCTGTCGCTGCGGTCTTATACGGGAATGCATTAGACCAGCGTCTGATAGGGCCAATCCGCGCTCCCTTATAGGGAGGCAAAAGTGTCTGTATATTACGATAGTTTCTATTTGCAAGGTTTCTACATAGGAAGAGAAGGTGGGAGGGACAAAACTGAATCTTGACTCCGTGCGAGGCACCACCAGGGTTGAGTAGTTGACTTCCGTGAGGCAGTTGCAAGAGGATGTAACCCCTCAGTAAGCTGGTGTGGTCATCACGTGAGGCGACCCCAAATAAAGCTACTCCCCTTAAAGTCAAAGGAGATTTTCTGCAGCATCAGTCAAAGGTTGCACAACATCTCTCTGTTCCACGGATAGTCATAAAGAGAAACTCAAAACATCTTAGAGCCTGAATGCGAATCTGGACAGATGTGGCGAGAGTGATACAACTGATCCTTTTAGAGGAATGAATAGCAATAAAATACCACTGTCAACAAGCTTACCGTTTGCGGTAAACGATTCAGAGCAATTTCCTAGTATTCCGGTTTAACCAATCATATCGCGAGAAGACCCAACTCGCTGATAAGAACCCCGCTCATTAGGTTTACCATATCCCCTCCAATTTGCGTATGCTGGGTATAGATGCTTGTATCAAGGTGTAGTTTAGATGAATCAGAGCTTCATCTCATACATTCCGTCACATATATTTTACCGTACATTTCCTATTAGCGGGGAATGGTCGAAACAATCAACTGGACGATTCACGCATTGATGCCATCAAAGGCTTTCCCTGTTGACGCACCCAAAGCCTGCTTGGTTTGTGTGGTTAACAAAAGGTTGTAAATATCTTCCTGGCGTATGTGTCATAAGTAGAAGCATTGACTGCAACTTATTTGATTATAGAAATTCTGTTGGCCACTCCGCGTTGGTTATCTTCCTATGGCTAAGTATATGCAGGGGGCGCACAAGAGAATGTGGGCCTGAGCATTCTCATCTGTCTAACTAATCTAGTATTTGTTAACTATCACTATTGATGAACACCAATTATGTTGCAAGGTCCGACGTAGATGTCACGGTAACATCGATGAGATGCGTTGAAAAAGAACGGAATCAGCCCGTATCCTGCAGATGCGGCAAAGATGCTTTAAATAGCGCTTGTAGTCGTGGTCTTGTAAATTTTCTGTTCATCTTCCATTATCACCCATATCCTACTGGTTTGAACACAAGAGAATGGCATTACCTGAGACACCTTCCCTTAATATAGCCCTAATCGCCGAACAACGGTCAATTTACCACGATCAAGGTTATTCAGATGAGGAATGCGCAGCTCTACCACACAATGGTGAAGCCAGTCACATTCTGACTACCCTGCAAGAACTCGGGCATCATGTCACGCTAGTGCCAGGAATCCAATCCCTTGTCAAACACCTAGCGGCTGGCACAAATAAGGATTGGGACCTGGCATTTAACATCGCACAAGGATTTCATGGGTTAGCCAGAGAAGCCCAGATTCCAGCACTGTTAGACGCCTACCAAGTTCTTTACACGTTTTCTGACGCCGCCACCATGGCACTGTGTCAGAACAAGGTCTATACTAAGGTACCATATTCATTGGCCTATTAGTTTGAAAGCTAAGTCCCAGCTGACTTGTGTGGACACTTAGATTATCCTAGCTCATCATGGGATACCCACAGCCCCATTTTCAGTGATCTCACGGGCGGATCAGAAACTGAGGCTTGATGACCTTAGCGAAATGCTACCGCATTATCCGCTTTTTTTGAAGCCGGTTATTGAAGGATCGTCTAAGGGGATTGGCAAATTTAACAAGGTTACAGAACCTGCAGAGCTGGAGTCGGCAGTCAGAAAACTAAGATCACTACTACCCGACCAAGATATCTTGGTAGAACCCTTTTTGTCAGGTCGGGAGCTTTCCGTGAGCATTCTCGGAACTGGTGTCCAGAGCCGCGTGATTGGAGTAACAGAATTTCTCTGGCAAAACCCCTCCAGCGACAGCGCCCCCGGTAACAGAAGCCATAGCAGTCTAGAGTTTGCTAGCAGAAAAAGCAAGTGTAGTGACACCAACATTCTGATAGTACGCAATGACGCTGGGCTTATGGCTGAGACGCAGGTCAAGGTTGCCTGTCAAGTTGCATTGGACGCTTGGAAAACATTTGGCTGCCGCGATGCTGGGCGTGTCGACATTCGATTCAGTTCCAATGAGCACAATGCATTCCCAATGTTCTGGAGGTGAGTCTTCTCCGGTCGAACTCACCTTAAGGAAAGAGGCTTTATCTAACATTACAAAGCTGAATCCTATTTCTGGCCTTCTTCCCGGCCATTCCCCGTTGGCGAGTAGTGCCGAAGAGAATGGGTTTCCGTACAAGAAGCTGCTGGCTGCGATCATCCAAAGTGCTTTCTCGAGAAAGTCAGCCTGCTATTCTTAGCGAGGAAATTCCTAGTACTGTATCCTGCGCGATGTTGATGTTTCTTAATGTTTTTAAATACGATTCATGAACGAGTGTTATAGTATATGCTACACAACACTTATGGAGATGCTGTCAATTCGCCTATTCATAATGCATATCGTGATTCTATGCTATTGTTTGTTATTTTCATCTGCTCCGTCTCCTGATTAACAACTCTAATAGTAGAACTGTGTCAGTCATATTACCACGAGGCCAAAGGTGCCGGACGCACTACCGTTTCTAACTTAGCAGCAGTAATAGTGTAATACATGGTCAACAAACTGCTATATCAGCTCGCTCTATGGGATGTTCCCAAGAAAGCGAGCTCGGCAGCTTGGTGTCACAGCAGCGGGCCCCGCTACAGCTACACCGGTTACAATAGGTGGTGTATGTTGAGCCAGTATTCCGCACGACATGGGAGTGGCCCATTACCATTAATTCTCCTGACAACGGTTTGAGAGAAAAAAAAAGGTGATGCCTGCATCCCCTTAGGTCCCGCCCCAAAAGAACAGTAGGCCCAAATCATAGCCGCTTATTCGGTTACAGCGACTTGAATGTAATTGGATAAACTGGAAAACGCGCACTTTTCACGCTATGGTCTTGAAAGGGTTGTTGTAATTCAGAGGAAACTTGATCTTTATTGTTTCTTATATAAATATGTTAGAATTGATATGCAATGGAACATCTGATTGACGTCCACTCAATTGGTTTCTATACGAATAAATGTCGTACACGAAGCTCTATCGTCTGCCTGATCAAGCATCAATTCACAACATTCCACCCTCACAAACACTATAGCTTGCATGCTTATTTTTAGTTGCTACAGCTGCCATTGGTCATTATACTCTGGAAGAATTGTGCCTGAGAATTTCAGTCACATCAGTAAGATGGGCTTTAAGCACCATTTCCAAATTGCTCGCCGAGCGCACTTACGCTAAAAAAAGCGAGGAGATGTTAGCTAGTGGGCAGCTTGGGTGGGAGTTGCGTTTATTAAATTGTCATTCAATGTTTACGTATGCGCGCGGAATGCTCTAGAGATGACGACCTAATTTCTTGAAGTTAGCTGTTAAATAGTCGTTGCAATCAGCGGTAGTATCCATTGGCAAACCCGGAAGCCGAACTTATATATTCCTCGCCACAACAGCATTTACTGAGAGCGGCGATTAGCGATTAGAATGGTGACGGTAGCCTAAGCCAGAAGCAGCAGCCCCACTAACTCAAGTGGATTACAATTTGATGCCTTTGGTAGTACTAGCGGGTCCCTGAAAGTCAAATACTTTTCGACCTCGCTGTAGATATCATTTATCGTAATCCTTGACTTTACCTTCCTGACCTCCGGTAGATGATTCCACCAAATAATAATGAAGGTCTGCCAAGACATTTGACCGCTATATATAAGTATAGGATTTTGCGAAGTTGAACTTGGTGACCAGCATTTATCCGAGTATGGCCCTTAGATCAAATAACAAGTGAAATGCAGCCCGCATACTTCCTTTGGCTGCTTTCGGCTGTAGTCCCTATGCGGCGTCGATGTCTGTGGGGAACACTCCTAACCCGTAGTTTCATAGGAGAAAACCTTATCCATGCCTTGCTATACGGTGTTTGACATACACCCTGTAGCTGTGCATATTTTCTTTCTTTTGGCAGGTTAGATAATATTAGGATGAGAACGTAACCAACTGACGTCAATTCCCTCGTATTTAACAACTAGTCTCCCTGCGGTTCTGAATATTGCTGAAAAGCAAATCGAGAATTGTGCAACAAAATTGAGCCAGCCAATAAAATACATGTATTATCGCCATGACTGTATTGGAGCATATGCAGGCTGCCCAGCTGATTAATAGACTTTTTCGTTCATTCCATATGTCGGAATCCTTCTGACGCAGTAATTAAGCTGGCATAGTGGTTGGAGCCATTATAGAACGTCACTCTGCGTCATTGTCTATTTCATCCAGTGTGAGTGTTAACAGATCCTAGTTTCTAGTATATAGACGATGGCATTTTCCTGGATCATCTGTAGTATTCTAGGGTATTGGTTGCAGAGAGTGTTACCAAAGAATCCTTTTGTGTGTAAAAAAGTACCCCAGAAACGATGTCATTCGTCAAGGGAAACGAGTTTCATGCCATTAACTCTTACTTCATTGGGCCTAAAGCTGCAAACCTGCCTGATTTCAGGGCTAATGTCAATATTGTCCTTGGCGAACTGCTCGAAACCAGGCAGCGCTATTTTCCGAATGATGCTGTACGTCATCCTGAAGTCTTCTGTATTTACCGTCAGTCTTCTAAAACAATCATTAGGATTACCCTCCGAAGGGAGTCCGAGAATCGCTCCCCTTCCAACAAGTCAGAGACAACTTCAGCAATGCAATTCAACAAGTAGCACGTATGCTAGGGGATCGCTCCATACCGTTCTGGTCACCTCGATATGAGGCCCATGTGTGCGCCGACTTGACTATGCCCTCCATGTTGGGATATTTTATGACTATGCTGTATAACCCCAACAATGTTGCCCTCGAGACTAGTCCATGTACAACTGTGGCAGAACAGAGAGCGGGCAAGCAACTCAGTGAATTGTTTGGATACAACACCGACGAACGAAAGAAGAACTTACCACTGGCATGGGGCCATCTTACTGCAGACGGTACTATAGCCAATCTTGAATCTATTTGGGTAGGTACGTATGCTTAACTCATCCCACCAGACACATGTCCAAAGCTGAGACGAAGACTAGCTCGAAACCTCAAGTTTTATCCATTGTCTCTGTTTCAAGCAGTAAAGGAAGGGAAACTAAAATTCATTGCCGATACATTTGAAGTAGAGAACTGCAAAGGGGATCTTCGATTGTTCAAAGACATGAGCACCTGGGAGCTGCTTAATCTACGACCGGAGACTATCCTTGAGCTGCCCGAGGCCTTGAAACAGCAGTTCAACATATCGGATCAATTTCTTGAAGAAGCGCTGAAGGAATACAGTATACAGACAGCAGGTAAGGATGCATTGGAGAAATATCATGGAATTGACAAACCAGCGCAATACATGATCGGCAAAACTCACCATTACTCCTGGCCAAAGGGAGCCGGTATGTCGAACTCCATGTCGCAGTTCTACTGAAGAAACAGTAGACTAATAACGTAGCTTTAATGGGGCTCGGATCTGGAAATATGACTGAAATTGACGTCGATTTGGATGCCTGCATCGATACAACTCTTCTTCAAGAGAAGCTCCACGAGTGTGCTAGAGAGGGCCAAGGTGTCTATGCCGTTGTCGCCATTGTCGGCTCAACAGAAGAAGGTGCTGTGGAGAGGCTCAGTGAGATTTTAGAATTGCGGAAGAAGTTCCAAAAGGATTATGGCCTGTCGTTCCTGGTTCATGCTGATGCGGCGTGGGGCGGTTACTTTGCTACAATGTTGGAACGAGATATGGTACGTGCGGAAAATGAGTACCTAGTGCAGAGACCTGTCCAAGAAAGAGTTAGCCATTATGGTCGAGGTTTCATACCATCGTCGTGCCTCGGGAGGAATACGGAACAGGACTTTTTTGGCCCTCAAGCATGCAGACTCCACCACAGTCGACCCACATAAGGCGGGCTACGCTCCGTACCCAGCGGGCAGCCTACTCTATCGTCATGGAAGAATGAGGTGCCTTTTGGCATGGTCAAGCCCAGTTATATCTCAAGGTTCATCGGAGAATATGGCCATCTATGGGATAGAAGGCAGGTATGTTTTTGTGAGCTTATTTGATCGATCGAGAGGTGTTCCCAAATGCTTATATTCCTGCAGTAAACCTGGAGCGGCAGCAATGGCAACCTGGCTTTCCAACCAGACAATAGGCCTCAATCCGGGCGGTTATGGAATGCTGCTTGGTGAAGCAGCATTTACTAGTGCTAGGGTGAGCTTATCATTTACCCCGATATCCGATCGGACTAACGAAGGCCAGCTATCTGCCTACTGGGCAACAATCGAGACTGAGGATTTTATTTGTGTCCCATTCAATAGGCTGGGTCCCGAGAGAATGGGATACGGCTTTCGGTCTAAGGAGGTCGAGGAAGAAAAGCAATGGTTTCGGGATAATGTTCTCGAGAAGGAAAATAAAGACATAACAGCTGAAGCAATGGACAGGCTTCGTGAATTGGGATCGGATCTCAATATCAACGCATTTGCACTGAATTGGAAACATAAGGGAAGCAGATCTCAGAACGGACAATTGCAGGAAGGAGAACTTAACCGTAATATGGAGGAAGCGAACTACTTAATGAAGAGAGTGGTGGAAAAGTTCTCAGTGACAACCGGCGAGACCAACAAAACCGACATCCCCTTGTTTTTAACCTCTACAAAATTCAAACCAGAACTCTATGGGAAATGTGCACAGGTTTTCATGGACAGACTAGGTCTTGATCGGTCGCATCAGGACTTATTTGTACTACGAAATGTGGTTATGAGTCCTCTCCCCACTAAGAAAGACTTTATTGCCGGACTTATGAGGACGTTTGAGGAAGTGACCAATGAGGAAGTGAAGTTCTGCCGTGACCGGAACAAGCGCGGGAACCGGCAGGTGCAGTTTCTTATGCAGGGTACAGATGAGGTGTTTCTGGTTCTGCAAGGCTCATTCCACATTGCACCACTACGTCAGCAGCTTATCCTCACGGCAGAGCTAGATTCCAACCTTCAGCAGCATTATGCGGAGTTGAGAAATCGATACCCTAGGGATGCGATTATATTGGAATCCTTGGACGAAATTGCGCTTGAGGACAAGGTAGAGAACCTAGCCCATGACAGAACCCAGGATTTCCAGGGAAGGATTCACAGAAAGGGACATGTGTAAGCCCTCAACAAGGCTGTTGATAACGCAGGTAACTGACGCTGTACAGAAATAACGAGAGTCAGGGAGTGGTGAGGTTAACGCGCATTATTAAAAGCCGGCCGATAAACTCTTCTAGTCACGATCCTACATACCCTCAACAATACATGCCATTCTACCTCTACGGTTCTGCAAAAGAGAAGCACATCTCCCACATGCTCCTTCGGGCTCCCAATATTGCCCTCTCTGCCAGCAATGTCGCGCTCAGTCCGGAGCTTGACCAGGCCATTAGACCTCATCTCCCGGAGGGTTTGATACTCACCTTATCAAGCATTCCAGAGGTGTCCGTCCAACCATGCATGATCAAGAACCAAGACATACCTCCATACTTTTTCTTCCAGCGCAAGAAACAGTTTAAGGTGACTGTTTGGAGGGATCCCAGGAGCCCAATAGCGGAAGGTCCTGGGTTGTTAGAGGGACTGAGAAACCCCATTGGCAGCGGCACCATGACGTTGGGAAACCATGTGGACGTGGATGCAGAGGAGGTCAATCATAACCCAGCTGACTGTCTGAGGATTGACCCCACCCCATGGCAGGATTTTGATCGAATCGGGGACATTCTCGATGGTACTTACGACTGTCCATGAAAGGTCACTGGGGAACCGGGGGTCCAAAAGCTGGCTGCGAACTTGCGCTTTCTCTGCCGACTGGGTTATCATTTCGCTATCTTGGTTCTCATTAAACGGGGCTCAGAAGTACCGTTTCAATTTGAAAATATCCCCCAGGAAGGGCATTTGTAACGACAATAAACCGAAACCCATGGGTCAGGTGGCGTCTGTGGATGGCAGCGCAACATTGAGTATGAGATCGTGGCAAGTTGATGTATTATTTGATGAGCTATGTCGAGAAAACTCATCCATGCCACCAAGACCTAAATTGAGCTCATGATGGTTGGGTAGACAATAGGGATATACTGCGCACCTGAAAGAATCCCCGTAACTTTGAACGAAGCGTTGAGAAAAGGAAGGGATGTCATGTAGAATAGTTTAGAAGTAAGACAGGTAGATATAAATGTTGTAGAACGCAGAGCCTGAAAGATAAGCATCAGCATCTCAGGCGGTAGATCGCTTAAATCCGCCACTAGGAAGGAGAGTTGAATCGATCAGCTCTAACAGTAGTAAGGGTCTCCTGTATAGCTAAATGCTTTGCCACTAAATAATTTTTGCATGCAAAGAATTTGTCAATGAAGGCAAAAGCTTAGATTTCGATTGAGACACACGAATACAGATACTATTCAGGGAAAACCAGGAACCTTGAGTAGACCAAAGTATATTTACCGGTGACTCCAACCTCTGGTGTATATTTCTTTGAAGATGCACTGATTCTGTTTCTTTTAAGTACAATCTTACAAGTTCGCCCGTCTCTCCGGCTCAGTTCTCGGTCCTGGCTTGAGTCCATCGAAGAAGTCTATCAATTCGTGTGTTTCTTCGAAAGAGGCAATGAGACTGATATACCCATCCGGTCTCAACAGAACCAAAGCGCCGTCCTCCTTGCTGATTCCACAGCGCTCATACACATGCCCGTGACCCTTATGGTAGCTCTCATCATCGGCATACACAGTCCAGTAATTCCACCCATCTTCATCGCTCCACGGCCGGAAGGCTGGATGAAGATCCATCAATTCGACATCAGCACGCCTGGCCCCATGGATTGTGATTATCTCCAGACCAGAACTTTGCGGAAGATGTGAGGTGAACCAATCTCCCAGGAGATTGAAGCGGCCGAAAGCAATTTCTTGGGAAATGTCGCCCGGGAAAACAAGCAGGCGGAAACGGCCGTCACTGGTGAATCGGTGATATGCTTGGATAGGCACCGCGTCGGATTGATTGACCATCTGAAAATCAGGCAGACGTTTTCCAGGTGCCAGGTTCGTGGCTCGAGGGTGAGACAGCGTGTGAAATTGTTTTGTTTTCACGATGAGCGACGGCGGATACTGGATCTGAATCCCCGTAGTGAATCTCTGCCCAGCCAGATACGCCTCGAAGAACTCATGGTGGGTGATATCCCTTCGGATAAATGACTCCAGGTACTTTCGGTCAAAGTCAATGAGCGCCTGCGCGATGGGCCGACGCTCGGTCTGGTATGTTGAGAGCAGGGCCCGGCTCGCCTTTTGCTCCAGACAATACCGCAGCTTCCAGCCGATGTTGTATCCGTCTTGAATGCTGGTATTCATCCCCTGACCTGCTTTGGGAGAGTGAGTGTGGACTGCGTCGCCGGCCAAGAAGATCCGGTCATGACGGGCGAATTCATCGGCCACTCGCTGCCCGACGCAGTACGCCGACCACCATGGGATCCGTGCAGCATCGAGGGTGTAAGGTGCCAGGATTGCTCGGGCGGCCTGGAGAAGATTCTCTGCCGTGATGTTCTTGGCATCGATGGATGTGTGCCGATTTCCTCCGTCCATGCTGATGTATAAGCGGACGAGTTTGTCCTCCCGTGGGACTCCCATGACGGTCCCCACGCTGGAATGGACTACAAACACTTTGCGAATATCCGGGAAGTCGGTCTTCGGCACCAAATTCATCACCCCTAGCCAAACCCAGACCCTCATCAGTGATCAAACCTCAACGGTCTCGGTGGAACGATCCATCACTCACCCCAGGTGGAGTCGGTCAAATCTCCCGAGAACCCGATATTGAGATACTTGCGCAACCAGCTGTGCGCACCGTCCGCTCCAACCACATATTTCGCTCGTATCGCCTCTTGGACGAGGGTTTCCCTGTTCTGTACCGTGATGGTGAGAGGATATGCGTCGGGCTCGTCTTTCGTCAAGGGGGCGATTTGCAAGCTGACGGGCTGGGTGTTCCAACTGACTTCGACGGTTTTGTGTTTGTAGAGGTTTTCCACCATGACACGCTCAATTTGTCCTGGAAAAGGGAGTCAGCCGGTGACCTAGCTGCCTCCAACAAGAATCACGGTTCATGCCTTGATCCAGTGTTACCTCTCGCGCCTTACCTAGCTCCTCCACCTTATCTGGGATGGTCATGGTCCGTGTAATCACCCCATCCTTGCCCAGGTTCCACAGGACGATCTCTTCGCAGGGCTGGCAATCGTTGAGTACCGTGTCGCCAATACCGAAGGAATCTAACACTTCGAGCGAGATGCTTTTCAGACCGTCCGCTCGACCGGTCTCGAGCGGTGCCGGCTTCCAGTCGATTAATCGCACGCGCCGGTTGCTGCCGTTGAAGGAGTTTGCCGTGGTAAGCCTTTTGCGCCTCTGTTAGCCTACTCATCCTCACCCAGCAGTTCTGAGGAAGAGAAAAATAGGGTAGATCGCAACACAGACCCTGCTGGCCCGGCACCAATGATCAAGACATCGACATGATCGCTTGCGTTCGCCATGGTCACGTGGGCTTGGAAGCAGATTCGCTAGACGCCGTGAAGTTCTATGGTTCGAGAAATTAGGGTACCATGGATTCGATAGCGACACTCTTCTTACTATAAGCCGCTTCTCCTGCTGGTGGTAATTGACCAATACGGACGCTCCGTGGCGCTTTCGGACCGACTGTCAGCGCTGACCGAGCCGACTCCGAATAGTCGGCCTGGATAGTGTAGTTCGCAACGCAGACGTTGGCTCTCGTAAAGGGAATGAAACAACCGATGGTAGCGTAAAAAGTATTGATTTTACGGTAGTGGTGGTAGTGCAATAAACAGCTGGTATGAAACATCGGGACTTATATATATGGAAGAGAAACGGTTGGACACCGCTTTACCATTACTAGTTTGGGAACTACTCGTATCTTGCATACCAATGAGAAAGAAATGAGGGTCTGGTAATTCTCATCTAGTAGCCTACGGGATACCTTTATATATATGCTATCGGAAGGGATCCCCCTGAAGCTATCCAAATTGTACGATATCAAGGGTTGGGCCGGATTTGGCATCCCTGGCGCACATATCCTGTTGTAGGAGAGGATCTATACGGAAGGTCAAACAATCTACCCAATGGATAAGCGGTAACTATGTCAGTATAATCTCTTATTAGGTGCACAGAATTCTAGAAAGTTTTCACCATTCGCTTCGACATTTGGCATAAACGAGGTAATGGGATATTGGAGAGCGCGTGTATTCCATCTAATTACTATATGCCAGCTTTCAAAGTCTCCAGAACTGAATCAAGCTCCGTGCAAAACTCTTGAACTTCTGCAACAGTGTTGTAATGCACAAAACTAACCCGGATGAGACCTTCAGCGCCCAGTCCCAGCACATCATGCGTTGGTCTCGGAGCCCAGCAATTTCCAGACACAACGCGGAATCGCCCCCTCTGATTGACCTTGTTGGCCACCACCATAGACGAGTGTCCTATCACCTCAAATGTGATCACCGGCACGCGCTTCCCTGGGTCCGATGACTTCTCGCCGAAGATGCGAAACACCCGGGGCCGGCGTCGGAGATACGCCAAGAAAACATCCTGGAGCACCGTCTCCTGGGCAATGATGTTTTCCCAGCCCACCCGTTTCAGGTATCGGGTAATCGGCACCAAGGCTTCCTCAAGCTCGAAGGAATTGGCACCGAGACGCAAACGCCAGTCCAGACCCGGCATCTCGCTGAGGAAGAAGTGGCTGATGCCCGCAAGCGCGCGCTTCTGAGCGCTACGCCGGCCGTACAGTTGTGCGACATGGGGTCCAAAAACCTTGTACCAGCTGAAGCAGTAGAAATCCACATCCAGGGCCTTCACGTCAATGGGTCGGTGCGGGGCAAATGCCACTCCGTCCACAACGATGACCGCGCCGGGAATCCTATGAACCAGGTCGGCCACTTGGCGGATTGGATGGATGGTACCCACAACGTTAGAAACGTGGTTGCAGGCTACCAGCCGGGTTTTCGGCGTCAACAGTGGCCTCAATGTATCGAGTGACAGAATCGGATCGTCGCCGGGTGGTGGGGCCCACCATTTGATGGCGATGCCCAAATCCTTAGCGAGGGCAAGCCACGCCGCCGCACTGGCTTCGTGACACAGAATGGAAACGATGATCTCACAATCCGAATTGAGCAAAGGCTTTAGTGCCTGGCCGAGGGAGCGAAGTAGGAAGGTAGTAGATTGGCCGAAGGCTATCAGGATTAGTTGATTGGCACCTCTAACTGGGAAAACGGCCTTCGTCTGTGACATGATCTACGGAAGTACTCACCTATTTCATCGGGGTCGGCATTCATGAATGCTGCGAGCTCGGCGAATCTATCTTGAAGTCGCTGCGTTTTCGCGGCACTCGCCGGATCATCACGACCCAGCTCATAAGGGAAAGAGGTCATGTATCGGTGTGTGCTCTCAGCAGCCTCCCGATGCAACACAGTCCCTGCAGCATTGTTGAAAGGTACGACGCCGTGGTGCAAGGCTGGAAACTGCTCTCTCAAGCTTTGAACATCAATGACATCCGTCACGGGCGCAGTACTCGCTACCGATGTGATCGGAGTCAGCACCAAGTCGGCCCCGATTAGAAACCTCGAGTTGACCAGATGTGTGATGTTTGCTTCCAGGGCCGCTTGAACTCCAGCACTCGGGTCCAAAGGTCCCTGAAACACCCCAATTGGCTCATCATCGGCTTCAAGCAGGTAAAGCAGCGGAAACAGTACATGTTTTTCTTTCTTT